ATGTACAGGATTGTGATTGGAAAATTGGCATCCACATAAAAATGCATTTTCTCTGAATGAAATCCTTGCAAGTCTTTATTCTACCTCGGATTATTTTTGAATTGATTAATTTCATGAAAACTGTTTGGAGGACTGTGTTACTTCAAGCTAGCACCTCTTCGATAAGTGGAGCCAATGTCGCGTGAGTGCATACAAAAATTAACATAAAAGATGACGACATAAGTGATTTCACTTTTGAATATAATAAATAATATTAATTCAAAACATCACGATCTTCAACATTTTAATTTAATCTCTTCACGCTCTTGCCCACATACATCACCGTTTAGTCTTTTATAATTATAATTACTGTCCATGATAAAAAGAACAAAAATTTGATAGTAACTTATTCACTACAGAATCCCTCAACAAGAGGAGTAAAAATGTTATGGTTTTGCTGCACTGATAATGTTATTTCCGATGTACAGTTAGAGATATAAGAAAAGCGTGAAGCAAAATCGTCCCTGAGGAGGTTAATTAATATTAGAAAGAAATTTTTAACATTTTTTCTAGGTAACCCCATTATGCTCAAATTATAAATTAATTTGGTAAACCACTTAATCCACCAACATTTCCAAGTATTAGTATCTTTGATTAAAATGTTAGGGAATTGTATTTCATTTCTATCGGGTCGATTTCCTCATTATGGATCATAACAAGTTCAAAGCGTCGCGCGGAGCATCGTGACTAGCATAAACGCAGAAACGGGACGAGTACAATGTAAAAATCGCGCGCACGCGGCGCTATACGATACCTTTCTCCGTGACCCCGCGCAGATCCTTCCGCTTCGGCTTTCCTCGCACAGTTTAACTTGCACTCCCGCCTTTCTCTCCGTTATTCTCCTTGACCTCAAAGAGACGCGAGCATGCTTCGAAATCGCCAACGGGCGAGTCCGTCGACGGATCCGACGATCCACCAAAAATGGGCAAAGCTCTTATCTGGATGCAAACTTCGAACAACGAATCAAAGATAAGCAACTGCTCCCGCGCTAAAGAATTGGAGCTCCAATCGCGGAGTAAAATATTTCAACACGTTAGAGTGTCACTGTTCAATCGATGAACAGAGCGACGATTAGAGTTCGTTTGACAGAATCAAATATTCGCACCAATACACTCCAACTGTTCGAGAATGGAAATAAAAATTATGATTCTATGGATAAAATATTTCACAATGAACAAATGACACTTGAACTGTCCAATCGAAAAGAAAAATTGGAACTCCGATTGCACAATAAAATATTTCACAGTGAACAAACGTCAATTTACCTGTACGATCTCGTAACAGAATAAAAATTACAGTCTGAATTACAGAACGAATTAATCCACAGTAAGCAAACAAAGATTGAACTATTCAATCTCTTAAAGTTTGTTTTGGTTAGTTATTCGTTATTTATTATTCAGAATAAAAGTTTGCCCATCTCCGTCGCCGCGGAAACGAGGATCGCGGCCAGCGTCGTCGCTTTGAAGTGAGTGTCAGCGATCACGATGACTGGAAGGTATCTTGAGAGCACACCGTATCGACCACGAAGGATAATCGACTGTGATCTTCACGTGCGTTTCTCGATCGGAGCACACGCACGTACTCGAACCGTTCGCGCGTGAGCTTCGAAAAGCAATGCAAGCGCGCACGACACGGGAGCCTCTCGTTCCTTCCTACGTTCTTACGTTGATCTCATGACTAATACTGTCTCTCTTCCATTCATTCCACCCATCTCTCTCGCTCTTTTCCCCCTCTGTCCTCCTCCAGCTCGTTCAATCATACCTGTTCTCCGTCTCTGTCCTCATTTCTGACTTTTACCTTTCTCACTTCCGCGCTGGTACCATCGTCAACCTCTTCTTCTTCAGGATGCGATCTTTTTTCACGAGTATTCCTCCTCCTTGCTCCTATTTCTTTCGATTCGATTCTCACCGTTTCTTCGTCCACTTTCAACCCGTCTTTGCTGGCACATTTACCTTTCTCTATCTATCGTACTTCTGGTATCGCCATCCTCGTCTCACATTTTCATTATCCACGACTCTATCTTCGTCCTTTCGATACTTTGCTTCCCCTCTACTCGCGTGTTCTCCCACTGCTCGTGTTTCCCCGCTCCGTTGGTATACCTTGCTCACTTGGCGTCTCCCGCTGGCCACCCACAGTCCTCTTTTACTCTCTTGCCACGAAACTTTTCTGTTTCGCCCCGCAGCCCTTCATCTTCGTCTCTCATTTCGAGCTACGTCGATCTACTTTCGTTTTTCTTCGTTCGTTTTTGGATACTTGGTCTCCCTCCGTTGGAGTCGGATCTTCCCTCCTTGTTCGCCGAAACGTGCTCGCAGGGGGTTCCACTCATCACCGTTCGATCCACGATTACTATCATTTAATGTGCCCGCGGCCTTTTTTACCCTTTTGCACGCGAAACACGAACGTCGGCTTGTGCCATATTTTGTCTCTGGCCCCTCCACTGACGTGGAACGACTTCGACGTGAGTTAACTCTTCAGGGTTGCAGCTGGCGGGATCGTCGGGCTCGCCAAATATGGCCAAATCTCTTATCTTGATGATCATTTTTTAAACGACAAACAGCTGTTGAATAAAAATTGATACATTATTGAATCCATAATCAATTCGAAATACGAAATTATTGCTGCAGACAAACGAATTGTTTATACGTGGATACCTTCCCACGTTGAAATAAAAGAAAATGATTATCTGGACAAAGCTACAAAAGAAGCTACAAGAGATCCTTATCACAATCTCCCAGTGGATCTTAAAAGATTTTTAACACGAACATCAAAGTACCACTTACAGAATAGAATATTTGGATTGACCAAATATCATCTGAACGTCAAGAATTCGAGTGTCTGAGTATTTCAAAGCATTGATATATTGGCTTATCCGTCCAAGGATGGCACAAAATTTATCACACGTGAATCTTTGATCTTCTAGAACATCAATAACTCGAGAATTCCAGCCTCCGAATATCTAGCAGCGCTGATCTAGCGTTCTGCTTGCCTAACTCAAAAAGGAGATAAAATCCATCACATTTGCCATCGAATTTCTATCAACCAGGAATTCGAATACCCAAATACCTGGGAACCGCATTGTCCCAAAACGAGCCATTTTTCGAGCAACCTCGACTCACTTATTCGTTACTGTCGGATATAGCGTTCCAGAGATCAATGTTCAGTTCCCGTTGGCGTGAAACATGCATTATTTTTAGTGCGTTAGGATAGGAGCAACAAAATCGAAGGCGACACCCCTGTCTGCCATCGGAGCCTTCGTGAGTCCCCTTGAGCCACGATAAATGATTTATCTCCGTGTCCCTCGCCGTTGATCCCCGTTGTTGGTGTCCGGTACCAGGAGGGGAAGGAACACGCGTCCAGCGGTGCTCAGGAAGGCGCATTCGCGACACCCACGTGGTGGCATGAACACGTGCGCTAAGCGCAGTTTGAGCACTGTCCTATCAGCGTATCAACGCCGCTGGTCTCTAGCACCCGGACACGAACCCGTGGGGGCAATCCGTTAAACAGCCACTTCCTTTTCCGACCTCAGCGCGCTTTGTAAATAGTCGACAATGGCCCCCATAAGCTGCAAAAGAGGATTCTGCGATGAGACTGCGAATTTACTACTTGGGATCAAACTCCTCGTCCCTTTTTTTTATATTTTGGGAGCTGGTGTAACGATGTCTCAGAATCATAGACTTTGGGTTGGCCACTTAAGCTTGCTCAAAATTAACTTCTTTCTATCGGTAGGAAATTCCGTGGCTATCTATGCTAACGGGACACGCGGGAAAGCATTCACATTTTACGGGCTGTCTTTACCCTCTTTTCTCACGACTTGATTACCGAGGAATCGGGCGAGATTCATGGTCGCAGGAGATTACAGTTTACGAGTAATACCTGATTATGGAAACCGGTAGGATGGCGCTTGACAAGCCTTCTTAAATTTTATTCCTTCGAGACCTGTTTTATAAAATATCCAATGCAACGATAGCCTCATCTATACTAATAATATAAAATGTAGAAAATGGCGAAATGGCCTCTGAAATAAATTATTTATTACTCAATAGCCACACAAATTTTGTCGTTTAATGACGCTAATCTTTGTTATTCGGGAAAGTTATTATAAATATAAAAAGTTTACGATACCAAGTGCGTTGATAGTCAAATTGAAGATTTTTCAAAAAGTAGAGTTAATCGATTTGTGCAGTGAACAAATCATACTATTAAAAACTCTGAGGTCTAGAATTTTCATAATTCCATAAGGTCATGATTGCAATCAGGAACACAAGTCCGATATTACTTGATACAATCTATATTATCTATGAGTTGGAAGCATTAATTTGGATTATAATTTTGTGAATAATCGAGCTGCATTTGTACATGCGTTTCAATGAAATCCCCAGCACCGCGTTTCGATCGAAGCGTTTCTCCTTGGGCGCAGAAAATAGATCTGGAGGATAAGTTTCAGGGACAATCGTGCATAGACACCCGCCTCGCCTAACAGATGCAAAGACACACGGCTGTATCGGCGTATAATAATCATTGGCGACCCACGCGAATATCGCAGACTGCTTAATCAACCGCCCGCGTATCGGCAAACTTTGATCATCGTCCACAGATGTCGGTTAATGCATTCGATTATCAAAGACAGGACCGCGATCGCCCGTAGGCGTCCCATCGAGACTGGTTCCCGTCGACTCTAGAACGGAATGTAGAATACGCGGCACATTGTTAGTCGATTCCGCCACTGGTCGATGCAGAAATGCGCTAAATAAATTCTGATCCGGCGCGACATCGTCGTGAAGAGTTGCATCACTTGACAATCCCTGGATTATAAACGAGGAGACCTGGTGGCACTATGGTGCAAGGAGTCGTTGATACTTGAATATTTTACTGTCGTTACCATCCTGGTGACGGTACTTTTCAAAAACTTGCAAAGGAAATAATGAAATTAATTAATTTCGTTGATTGTTTACTTTTTCCAGGTGACTGCATCTCGTTACCCAGTTGTGGTGAAACTCGGCCACGCCCATGGCGGAGTGGGGAAAGCCCGCGCCGAGACGAACCAAGAGTTTCTAGATCTCGCCTCGTTGGCAGCTCTGGCGAACACCTACTCCACCTCGGAACCGTACGTCGACACCAAGTATGACGTGCATGTGCAGAAAATTGGCAATAACTACAAGGCGTTCATGTAAGTGTCACTAAATCCATCTTTGACCGATAGTTCCTCTTCGGCTTGCAAGTTTCGTCAGTACACAGCGCAGAGATACAGTAATATAAATTTGTGATATGGTATCAAGCTTCGCCTGGTTAGACAAGGGATGATTACAGAATAAACTAATATTTTCCACACGAACAAATTACCACTCGATTGGGAACCGACGAAACATGACGCACTGAAAGACTGAAATCTCGTTCCGACCCTAACCCATCGATTGATAGTTAATTGGCTGAGCAACCGCGATGAATGCAGCAAATCATTGCACCATGAAATTGTTGGCGCGGATGGTAATTGCGGTCGTTGATATCCCTTCCAGGCGGAAGAGCATAAGCGGAAACTGGAAGTCCAACACTGGTTCGGCGATGTTGGAGCAATTAGCCGTGAGTGAAAGACATCGCACCTGGGTGGATCACGTGGCTCAACTGTTCGGCGGGTTGGATATCTGCGCGATCGAATTGCTGGTTGGAAAGGATGGTCGAGAGTACATAATCGAAGTGAACGACAGTGCTCTGTCGTTGATGGGTGATTCGCAGGAAGAGGATCGTCGTCACATCGCAGACCTTGTCACCGCGAAGATGCAGGTAAGAGGACTAGGATTTTTCTATTTTATCTATATAAGCGTGGGGTTAATGGCTATTGACATGATTTACTCCTTATCCTTAGTCAGGTTTTTGTAATATCTTATATTTCATTTATTTATCCTAATGAATTAATTTCTTTTCTCTCGTCATTGTAGAAATATAAAAAAAATTTAAACAAAACATCTAATCGACATCTAAACAAAAATGATGCTCATCTAGAATCAATTACAGCAACTAAAAATAAGAGCAGGTAATAAGGTATTATTTGTTATTTCTAGGCATGCTGCCGAATTCCAAGCGTGTTGACGAAGACGACATCCAGAGGGTCAATGTCTGGCTCCAGTCAGGCAACGAGTCCCGTAGAAGATCGCACGGCACCACCACCACCACCACCCACCGCACCGTTGGGCTCCCACGGAAGCATGGGCTCCATGGCAAGCATAGGAAGCTTAGGATCCGTAGGGTCCACGACTGCACTCGCGGGCGACGTCACTAGCTCCGACAGCCACCATCAACTGCAACGCCGTGACTCTCAAGGTACGTACAGCTTTGGTTCATTCGCTGATTAACCCTATGAGTGCTAGAGGGAATTTGCATGTATATCCGAGAAATACCAGACAATTTTAATGAGTTACAGCACTTATCATTTTGATCAGCGATAGATCGCTCTTGACTTTTTTTGCAAGTGTATGCAGAAGCGATGTATCGCAGCTTGACAATTAAAGCGTTAACATGAAATCAAAGCCATAATAATATTCTCTATACTTGTAATTAATTTTCCAATCATCTTCTGTTAATAGCATCGCAATCGAGTACGGTGAGCAGCGCTCCATCCGTCGGCCGACGCCCAGAAGAACCCCCAACATCCAGACTACCTTTCCACAGACAAGGCAGTCAGTCCCAGAGCGAAGACACGGAGGATACCATGAAGAACCTTCGAAAAACATTCGCTGGGATCTTCGGAGACATGTAAACTCATCGAACGGACGTACTGAAGCAAAGAAGATCGTCTCGGAGATGTACTGATTTAAGTTAAACGAGAATAGGTGTTAGGCGGTGAAACGATTTTAATTTTCAAGCTTCCGCAAGGAATCATTGCGTATCTTTTACACTGTTCCGTTGCTGTAGCAAGGTTTTGTGGAAAATTCTGTTCGAAGTTAAATTATCGATGATCATATTACTCTTCGTTGCCTAGTAAGCGAAAACGTTTATATATTTGCAGATCAACGCGCACGACTAAACGACAACTCGTGTCTCGCACGAGTCACGACATAACGATGTAAATTTTGCTAACGGTCCACGGCGATGTGTATAAACATGAACATAACTCGTTGAATCCTTCGTTTCCGTTGAACGATTAGAGCCTCAACTTCGTCTACATTTTTTGCATTTCGTTGAACATTAAACGAAAGCAAGCGTTCGATGATTCTTCCTTGATTGTTCTTTGTCTTCGCGACTGTATATTTCTCTATGATTACCAATTCACACCTGCACGTTTCGCGCATGCGTTGCATCTAAATTAGCTACGTGTTTCGATAAGGGTTGGGGTGAGAAAAAAATTTAAGGGGTTTAAGAAAAAAATATGTCGTGGTCGTTTATGTATATTAAAAATGATGAAGCGAAAAGTAATGTAGGTTCTATGTATTCGATGTATTCAGCATTTAAATAGTGGCTAGGAAAATTCTCAGGTTAAACGATAATTAATACTTTTCCGAGCGTCCGGTTATGTTTCTTTACCATCGACGTATCCGTTCTGCACACTCTCGTCTCGTTAACGGGAACGGTCACTTGGTTTTCGATTCAAACTGGAAGAAACAGTACCATAGGCCCCTGTCATCTCCTCATCCGACTTTACTTCAGGCAATCCACCATTTTTAGGCTTAACTTTCGATTATAGAGCATTCTCTAAAAAAAGGCAAAAAAAAAATGACGAAGAAGAAGAAGAAGTAGAAGAAGAACAAAGCAGCAAAGAGAGAAGGAAATTTATGGATTATAAATTGAACGGGAGAAGGAAGTCTATTTGTAAAATTGTTAAAATACTTGTAAGCCGACGTCATTCAAAAATGATTGAGGAAAACAAAAAAAGAGGAGATTCGGGCATTATACAGAACATTTTGGCTAGAGAAAAGGACTTCGTATCGGTCGCTGGGCGTCCGTTTGATCTTACGATCGTGCGACGCTCATCTTGAAGATCCAGATCGACGGAGTCCTGCATCTTAAGCGCACAAATAGTCATTAAGCTTTCGAGATCGGACAGTACTTTGACATCGTGCATGCGAGCAACGCAAAACGGTTGGATGTAAACGTTACTCGTCGAGTTTGCGAAAACAAAATTTCTCCGTGGGCCCGTCGGTGCGTTCTCGGAACGATACCTAATCTCGGATCATTGAAATTCTTCGACCGACGGGCGATCGATTTGTGCGGCCTCAAAATTCTATTGCATACGAATAGTGCGAGCATCTCGATGTTGGAAACTGTCCTGAAATTCCAATAAACGAACCGCTTCTTTTTCCTAAATTTTCGCGCATCGTCAGTCGTCGGGGGGTGGAAGCGTGTTTCGCGCTGCTTCCAGCCGGTGAAAATTCGCGAAAAAAGAGAAACGTTCGTTCATCCGTAGAATTAAGATGATCACCGTGAAACGAAAAAAAATGTAATAAACGGGGATTTCGTCAGCTAGACACGGGAAGCGGAAGGGTGAGAAGTGGTTGCTAGGTGTCGCGAGAACGAAGAAACATGGGCATTCTACTATTTACGAGCGTGCAAACTCGAAGCAAACCGAAACGCCGGATGATCTGCAAATATATGACTGTTAGTTCGCCGAATGATTATAACGAGCAAGCTTCTTTGAATCAGTACTGTAAATCACGAGTCGTGGTAACATCGATCATCGACGGAGGAGAACGAAGAATGAATTAACCGAAACGTCTTTATCCAATGATCTCAATTTACATTAGCGTAAGGGCTGATAAACGTATTATGACGAAGACAGACCTCGTGGTGTCAGCTTCGAAGGGACGAAAATAATTTCTTACGATACTCTGTTCCCCGTTAATTTCATAGTTTCGAGTCTAACTTTGGTCAATTGAAAATTCTTACGATAATTTCCAAATCGAGTTTTCGTTAGTTGCAGAAATGCAGTAGAGCTATGCGTAGGGTAGCGTTCCCAAATTAGACTTTTTCGCATCGAATTTCTTGTCGAATAAATCGAAGATTGAGTTCAAGAACACGTAACAAGTGATAATCATTCTGTATTGCACAATTGATCGTTAAATGTTCTACAGTGTTTAGGAATTTTGATTAAAAAGATAGTTGTAACTTACAACGACTCACACGGTTACGAATTAATTTCGAGTAATAGACGTCCGACGATTTCGTTTTTTGATGTGCCTTGATACTTAAGTGTCCTTGTCACCTTTCTCACTCGCTCGGAGTAAACGATTTCGACGTACACTCTCTTACCGTGCACTTAACCATGAAATCTATTGTTTATACTTTTTATACGATACGCGCGCGCGCACCAATTGCATTTGCACGATCACTGCAACGAGATATTTATTAATCAGCGCCCTTCGATATCGTGGATAAGTGCAGATACACCGTCCAATGTGTCAAAGATCAGCATCGAACGAAGGCGTTAGGTTCATTTGATAACGTCAATTTCTCGAATTCCCGTTGATCCTCACTAACCCTACGTTGCGATATCGTAGCTTTAGATTGGCTGTCACGATTCGTTTAACGTCACTTTTATCGAGACTGTTGGTTTCTAGAGGCATCGACCTGTAGAATGTATAGAGTACGTGTTTAGGGCCGCAGAGACGGGCAAGATTTCATTTCCAAATTTCCAAATTCGATTGAGCAGTTATTCAGGTCTAGATCAAATCGGTCAGCAATTTTACCTGTCCCTGTCGCGAGGTTAGTCTCGAAGAGTGTTTCATTTTTTTAAACTTTCATTCGACGCACGATCGCAACGAAATCAGAGTAGACGTTTGAACGAATATCAAAACAAAATATCAAAAACCACCGACATTGAAACAATACTTTAAGGGATAAACCAAGTAAGAACAGATGCGAGCACGCGACACGTCCAGGGAGCCTTTACAGCCTGGGAAGTCGTCGTGCTCGACGAAGTACAAAGTCCTCGAAAAGGAAAGTTGAAACCTGCTTTCGGAGCTGACGCCACGATGCAGAGCGATACGAAAGCATAAAAGTTTTCAGTGAATGAGCCACGTTTCGATTATGCACGCGACGTGCACCATCATCGATCGAGAAGCATAGCGATCGCGGCTCCTTCTTGTCCTGAGCAGTCGAGAATCCCACGCGGCGTGTCAGTGGCGACGCAAACGTGCCCTGATAAGACTTGCTAAGCAGGACGTGTTCGATCTGTACTGATACGTAGATACGGTTAAAGATTACCGAATATCTCAGGGGTGCAACTTTATGCACTAGGTAGGATAGAAAACTAGAGAAGGCAGATGGGTTCATGCGTCGCAGCCTAGACGAATCAACGGCATTGACATAAATCCCTATAAAGACTAGCATTAGCCGCACGCTTCATCGAAGACATCATAGCGATTGTCCATTTAGTGGCAAATTCGGTACTACGCCGAGAAACGCTGCGCGATCATCTGAATTCTGTTTGCGTCATTCGTTTAATACTTGGCGATTAATGTCAGTAATTCTTTGAATAGTCACTTCTAACGTCTAGTCGAATATTGTTTAGTCTTTGCTTAAGAAGTTAATTCCTTCAATTTATAAATGTCTGATTTTATAATACGTAACTAATGATCGTCTAGTTAACATCTAAAAGGATGATCTCTTATGAATTCTTTTAATCTTCTGTTCACACGATCTGTTAAATACTTGAGAATTAATATCCCCGATTCTTTTCAAATGTCTCTTTAAGAATTTAATTAGTTGAATTTATAAATGTTTGATTATATAAGGAATAGTCAACATCCGAAAGAATCTTTAATTATCTACTACGATTTTTTTATATAATCTGTTAAATACTTAGGCAATAATGTCGTCAATTTTTTTTTAAAAGTGATGATGTGACACTCGTTTGGTGTATAAATTATATTTTGAACCAGGATCGCACAGATGATCGCGCGCACCCATCGATCAGACACAGACACGCATCGAAAGGCTTCACGCCTCCCGATCGCGTATGACCCTAGAACAACGACCTTGTTAATTTATTCTAGTGCCCGTGTGGTGTAGTGAGCAGCCTTTAACATCTCTTCATACCCTTTTAATCGTATTTATGTATAGAAAGTAACGTTTGATTTCGTCGTAACAACGTACCAGCGATACTACCTAGCAGGTTCATTGTTCCGCGAAACGAAACAGTCCCCATCGCCTCTTAGTTCCTCGTTTCCAACGACGTTTTCCCAACGTCAAACTTTCGTCTCATCCCCAAATTCCTGTTCTTCTTTCTTGCCGAAGTTACACTTAAGACTAGGATAATCTACGTAGAATCTCCTTCTGTCGTGTAATCCCGCTGTTAGCTAAGAACCACCATACCATAGATGATACGTTAAGGCCATGAAAATAATTAGTATTCTTGAATTCCTGAAAAACACCTGTTACACGAGTAAGTTCTAACCTAAACAAAGAGGATTCGACGAGCTCGATACGCACGATGCCGCGATACTAAACGATTTCACGCGACGATGTCACCTTTCCGCGACTGGTATCGCGGTGATCGATCGAGCCCGTCGATGAATCATGCTACGACTTGTTACCAAACCTAGGATACTAACGCTTAGGTCACGTTGAAAGTAACGAGTCGAATCATTTCGGCGAGCGTTCAATCGGAATCGAATACGTCTCTCGATACGAGTATCGTACCTCGTCGTTTACCCGATCCCTTAACCCTATCCTCACACGAAAGAACACGATCGACCAACACCCAGAGATCGTACTTTCGATTCTCCTCGATCTCCTCTAAAAACACTTCATAGATTGTGAAACGATAACACCAAGTCACGAGATACCTACAACGAACGACGAGGAGCTGATACGTTCGATTACGATTCGCTCGACCCTTAATTACGATTATTCAGTGTCTCTGTGTAAACGAATTTAAGTTAACGAGAATAATTAGCGCGTAAGGTGAGTTTATCGTCTCTAGGTTAGTATCTACGTTTAGGGTCTATGTAACCGTACGTTACCTCCTTGATTTCAATGAGTGCTAGTCACATGTACTATAATCACTTGACACTCGTATTCACGACACACAAATATACATAATACATACATATATATATACACACACATAATTATGATACGCGTCAGTTATAGCTTATCGTCTCAGACTAACAACAGAGAAATCGTTTTAGGAATGTAATGGTTATGCGAGGTTAAGAGGAGTTTCAGGTCTAATTAATTGTAAATTGGTGGGAATGCTATTTAATAATATAAGAGCGTATACACAGTTGGCGTCGTGGAGCGTCTCGGTGGGAATTGCGCCACGTTTACCTCCGAACGCTGGCCTTGGTGTCTTCGATCGTCGATCGTTTCTCCCCGATCCTCGAGAGGGGTCACCGTTCTCGCCGGACGAGCCACCGTCATACACGATATCAATTGTACGACAATATAAGGTATTATTACGAGAAGGGCGACGCCACGACGAGCGATCGCCTTCCTCGAACGAGACAAGTGTGAGAGAGTAGTCTTAGAATAAAATTGATGTTCTCCTTCGCGGCGCGGTCATCTCAAACGCGTCGCGGATTCTAATTGAAAACTGTCCACGGGTGATCGGCACGGATGAACCCTCGAAATCGTTCGCGCCCTTCCGAGCAACTATACTCCGCCTGGAAAGGGAGCTTGCAACCTCCAGCAATCGAGTTCGATCGTTCAGCCGGCGCTGGCCTATCGATCGCTGCGTCCACGATCGCGTCGCTAATCAATCCCCACTTTCCCACGCGAGATGACTCGAGATAGATTCGAGCCAACGAGTTCACCTCGCCGACGGATATCGAACGAACAACGAATTGCTCGCGATCGCGGCGCCGCGGCGTCGAGACGTTTCCAATCGAACATTGGTTAAGAAACATCCTCCGATCATACGGTTCATCGCCGATTTATATAACCGCTAATATAAAACGAAGATGAAACGAAGTACGGGAATGTGTTAGGTAAGATGCGTAAAATGCGAGTTCTATCTGTCATCGTTAGGTAATAAGATCAACATTTGATTATTCGGGGGGTAGGTAAGTGCAGCACATTGAGAATTCGAGAGACGAATACAAGTAGTGCAACATATAAGATTCTTGTATAGACGCAGACAGACGGACCCAGGCGTCGGGCGTTCGTTACCGATCGGGACACCGTCTCGAATTCTTCGAGACATGCCGGAAATGCGTGTCTCGGAAACACTCTTCCGTCGACTGTCAATTTGTATGATTCATTCCACAGTGTCGTCGGAAGAGTGTCGAGGAGAGCCCGACAGGCAACGAGCGCAGCGTTTCACGGAGCGTCGAGATAGTCTTCGAAGGAGCCACCTGGACGCTAGAGCGTCCCGGTGATGATTTCACGCCGCTAATGAAATCAACATCGGGGGTCAAGGGTTCAACTCATCAGCCCGTCGCGTCTGGAACGACGGAACAACAATTGGCTCCTACGTGGGCTCGACGAGCAACGCGATAAGCAAACGGAGTACGACGGTGTTGATAGATCCAATCGTCGTCGTATTTCGTACTTCGTCTGCATATCGTGGATCGTCATCGACGATTGGACGAGGAGTTCTTTTCGACGTCGAGCAGGAAGTGCCCTGGCCATAGCGTTGGGCCTTCCTCCGTTTGCTCAGTTCTCCGCAGTACGTCGATAAAGACATTTTGATACGTGACGTGATGCGGAGAATTTCTGGACAAACGCGTGATCGGGTGAACAACGGTCGTGGAACTGGAGATCATTTTGTGGGAAACCATTCGTCGCTGATGTGTCGACCACCGACATGAGTCGACAGTGGTACTGTTGGGATCGTTGCGTGTCGACGAACGGAACATGCTCCTCGGGTCAAGGTCTCGTGTCGCCCCCGACGCCACCCTATATTAGCCCACGGACGAAGGTTGTAGAATTTTTCTTCGATAGAATGGTGTATCGCCAATTGCATACCAACAGAAATATTGTCATGCCAGACTATGAGACGTCGTCGGCACGTTTTGCAGCTCGTTATGGTTGTTAAGACATTGAAATATTACGAACTATTTGACGAATTGAGCTATCTCATTGTGTTATGTACACACATTTATATAAATATATAAATATACGTTGAAGTTACCATTGCGACTATGATCGGAATACTAGGTAGCGTAATCGAGGAATGGCATGCACGCAAGTTAGCATAAAATGTTATTAAGAATCCTCGAATGGAGCGTGGAGAAGTTCTTTCAGACACTGAACGAAGGTAACGTTAGTAACCGTGGAAACGGTGATCCTAGTAATCGTGACGGGAATGAGAACCGTTTTGTACCGCGCTAGAATCTGGGCACCGTGTTATCCTGGTTGGCCCGCGTGGGCTCCTTTCAATCACGATTACTGCGATACGTAAGCTAAACTGTAATATTAAAAAAAATACATATAAACACCAAATATTATACTTCGATGTCTTGTCAATTTCACCACCTTATGTCCCACCAGTTGTGCGCATCATATTTTTAATTTTCAAATTATTAGAAAGTAGAGAACAAGTAGAGAATGATCAACAAAAATATTTTGTAACAATATTAAAATTTATTTGATTATCAGGTAATTTTTAGGCTATGAAGTTGAAAACCAAACAAAGTGTACAGTTATTTTATATTCATTTTGTCCTTTGAATGTATTAAGAAATGCTAATCGACAGAAAGTTGCGTATTTGAATCGAGGGATAACGAAATTAGTTTTGGATGGATTATTGTTAAACTATGCTTTTGTCCAGTTCCGTGTTCAAGGAGCGATTTCGATACATTCCGCCGCGCGCCTGATTTTCACTGAAAGAAGTACTTCGTGGATAATATCTCGTTGGTACGGTGTGGATTGTCGGTGCGTACCATCCGTAATCCATGGACGTGCTCCTGTAACAGGGATGCGGATGTGGACTCTCGTCCTGGCCATATCCCATGAAGACCCCTGGAAAAACAACTTCTATCGGATAAAATATCCTTCGTCTCTCCACGGTATGAATCCTATAAATTCATCTACGGATTCGACGAATAGTATATTTTTCAGAGACTCAACACTCTACATGAATAAATGACATTATTTTTCGGTTCCCTAATAAAATCATAAAATTAGTGTCGTCGATTAAAAATCTCACATCAAACGTAGTATTTTAAGTAAAGTAGTAAGTCGTTTATTCCGATGTAAAAATAAGTGTTTCTTATATTATAATTAGAAATTCATCGTCAGTCATACGAGTCCAGATACGCAAGTTTAATGTAGTATCAGAAGCCAATAGCTAATTAATAATTAACACTCTCTGCATATTCGTACATATTTTTCTCAAACACACGTCGAAAACTCTGAACGATTTGCTATATTCGATCAAAACACGTATTTTGCAGCACACCAAAAAATTAGCATAAACTTTCATAACTCTACGCCAAACTATAAAAATACATGATCAGAAACCAAAGCTAATTAATAATTAACACTCTCTGCCTATTCGCACATATTTTTCTCAAATACAACGTCGGAATACTTCGCTATATTCGATCAAAACAGTCGTATTTTGCAGCACACCGCAAATTTTGCATAAACTTTCATAACTCTATGCAAAACTATAAAAATCTCCGATTCTATTTGATCTCCGCGCACTGATAAGGCAACTCGTACGCGATGTCCCTGCACCGAAATCGTCCGCGCACTTTGTGAACCTTCTCCACGATTGATCCCCGAATGTTGAAGCCAGGTTCAACCGTGACGTTCTTCATCCTGGCAAAAACCGACATATCCACGAAACTGAGCTCGTTGATGTTCAGAAACAGTAGCAACAGATTGTCCAATCCGTCGAAGGCGCCAGGCCGCAGGGCGGCGATTTGATTCCCATTCAGCCACAAGGAGTTCAGGTCCTTCTGGTATCGAAACGTCCCGACAGTTATCGTCCTCAGCCGGTTCTTGCTGAGATCCAGCTCGTTTATCGCGCTTAGACCGCGAAAACACTCGGGATGGAGATTGGAAATCTTGTTCTTGGCCAGATAGAGGAGATCTATGTGAGGCAGGCCATTGAACGCGCCGATCGGCACCTCGGTGATGTTGTTCGAGTCCAACGCCAGCGTCTCCAGGTTTCTGAGACCTCTAAACATGTTTTTACTCAGGGCAATGTTGTTGTACGTGGCATACAGCTCGTGAAGATCGGCCAGCCCTTTCCAAACGCCTGGTCTAAACGTGGTAATATTATTGCAGTCTAATACCAAGGTCTCCAGGCTTTGGAGTTTGGCAAACGCGCCATCCTCGATGTTCTTGATGGTGTTGTTCTTGAGGTCCAGGTACGTCAGCTGGTCCAGGTGGGAGAAATAGTGTCTCGATATCGTAGACAGCTCGTTGTCGCGTATGTAGAGCGCCGACGAATTGGCCACTTCGAGGAACGCGTCCTTGGCTATGTCCGCGATCCCAAGGCTCTCCAAGTGCAATTCTATGTCTTCGATGGTCTGTACAGCGTTGACATCCTCGTAAGCGACGCTATGCAACACGCCGTTGGCCATACAGACGTAAAGATGGTTGTAAACTTGGCAGTCCACTTCCTCCACGCTAACGTCTCGAGCGGCTACCGATAAGACGTGATAAACTAGCAAGAGGAAGCACATGGTACGCTCAGATGCTGGATGTGCACTGAACGCGTGAGAGAGCAACGTTTCCACGTTCAGCCGAGGGCATAAACCGACGGTTACCGTTCAAGAGATACCATTGGATACGCACCGGGTATCAGCTACAATGTCCGCGCTGTAAACTCGTCTCCAGCCAAGTCCAGTTTCGTGGAAATTAGATGTTTTATTCATTTTCAAACGCGCTCGTCGGTCGCTTGACTTTATTAAAACTTCTGTATCTCTTTCTCGATGAGTTTGCGTAACGGCGGTTCGTCTTGAAATTCAATTTCATTGAAATCGGGTCTCACACGCTCTTCAAAGTAGCGGTTTTCGTGGCTTTATTGAAATTCACCTGTTCACGCGAGCCTCCCACGATCTCCGGCGACAGAATTTTCCCTACGAATATTTCGCGGAAATTTTCATCGACTCGAGTTTCATATTTTCCAACCGACTCCTGGATCGTTCTTTATTATTCTTTGACAGCTCGCGCCGTCGGTATTCAAAGCGAAATTTTAGACTGCGAGTACTCCCTTTGTTTTCCCGTGGGGGCATTTTTTATCGTATCAAAACATTGTTGCGTCGAGACGGTGGAATTTCAAATGTTATTCTTGCGGAGCTGATGTCTTCGGAGATGAATGCTTAGCTTCGGATCCGTTTCAAAATGTAATACACTCGCGGGAAATTATTTCTTGTCATCTCTGTGCAACCAATTTTATAAGTGATAACGAATGAACGAATGAACAAAATGAAGGAATTCAGTTCTTCTTGTTTAAGCATATAAAACTTTCTTCAATTTACAAAAAAAAAATATTATTCCTACGTGCTTAAAGAAAGGAATCACATTTTTTTTGCTAAAATTTGGGAATAAAAGTAGTACACTTACAGAATGAAATTTAATAAATCAAATATTTTTCCACGAATTAATTTTTGTCCTCTTTTACGAAGAATCCGCTAACGAAAGAGGCGTGTTGAAAGAGAGGAATTGTATACATTCCTAACAATGCTTATTTTGTGAAGGGTTGATGTGACATATGCAAAAATGTCTGCATTACCGATAAGCCTCGACGAGAATACCGATCGTCAGCGCCGACTTATTAATAGCAGAATGTTATCGTTTTAGCACGAAGAAGCTTCTTGGCGCGGAGACTACCGAGAAATGTGTTACTCTGACGACAAGGAAAGTCAATTCTCGAGGAAATTCAACGAACTGGATGAGCATATTCCCTTAGCAGCATGAATCGAAGCGTTGTGAATTAATTTGATTAATTACAACGATTAATGCTTGAATAATTTGAACTCACGTGGGTACAGGAATCGTTTTGGGAGGTTACATGTTCGATAAACGTCATCGGTGCGTGGACCGAAAGAACTCTCATTTTCCTGCTCCTCCGTCTTCCTTTCCACGCACACACACGGCGTTTCTACCATTTTCGGATTACGAGCGGATCAATCGAACCGTAAATGAATCGCGTTCCCCGAATCGTGAGGCAAAATCTTCGTTGTGCACCATGCAATCACGTTTTATTTTCTGTCGACCATAAATGTTTGGTTCCTATAGCGACAATACCTTGTACACGAGGAGGAAATCGATCAAGCAGGGTGTGCTTTACTGACAGATAGATTTCCCTGCGAAATTGAGAAAGTCAAAGCTCGAGCATTTACATTCCAAAATAGACCACTACATCCATGTGCAATACTTGGTGATACGATTTAGTGTATGACAAACTTCAAGTTGATTAATGGTTTGAAGTCCTTCAATCTTGGTTACATTGATAATTCTTATCGTTACAACAATATGAATTGCCATAAAGTTTGTTTAAATTTTTCAACGTTTCCACCACGCAATAAGTCCACTTCAGATTTTAATTGGCTCGATAAGATTAAACCTTCAATAACAAATATTAATCTTGCAGACCAGTGAATTTGTACAATTTTCTAAGCTTGACCCTATAAGCAAATTAATTGAATACATTTCCATTCAAATATATATTCAAATTCCTGATTAAAAGTTCCCATTGAAATGCATTTTATAATATTTCATCTCGATTGAATTATGATTGAATGGAGCTTGAGAAATAAATTGGATTCTAAAAGAGATTCGACGACTTTCCGTAATTATCATATCGTATATCGTAGCGTTTGTTGTTTATTTTACATAGATTGCTTCGCCTGGATTTAAGAAATAATTGGATTCGCGGACAAAAGGATAGGGGCAGTGTCTCCTCCGAGCACTTTTTCGCGAGGAAAAGGGTTATTGAACCAGCCCAGGTGAACGACTACCGCGCACCCACCGAGCATTTAAAATTCTAGCTGAGTTTGCACTACATTACATCGGTCGCGCTATCAGCGACACCGATAACAGTGGCGCTTTCGTTGACCGGCTTAAAATCGCACTTCCTACCAGGGGATTATACGAAAAGTGTGGGAATGCAACGTGACCGGTAAGTACTCATTGTTTTTCGAAAATTGTCGGGATCTAGAATCTAAAAAAATACAAAGACAAAAGAAAGTTACACTCTAATCTAAAAACTTCAAATTTACATAAACATTTTGAACATAATTTTAATAGGTCTGAGTTAGGCTTGGGTTAAAGCGATCTAAAAAAATACAAAGAAAAAAGAAAGTTACGTCAAATTTTCATATAAATATTTTGAACACAATTTTACTAGGTCTCAACATTGTACTTTAGTTATGAATGACTATTTTAGTTTAAATGCAAAAAACCTGATACATTTTTAGAGTTATCTATCATGAAGTATACCTACGACATTGGCATTAAATATACATAATAGTTTTAAAGATATAGACTGTTTGTGCAACCGTCATTACACAGAACTATTTATAGAAAAGAATGAATAATTATCCAAGTAGCAGCTTTTTGAAAACGTGTTAGTCAAGTTCAAAAATTAAATAATATAATTTGAAGTTTCTAGTACCATATGACCTTTCGTTAAATGTTTTAATATTTTCCATTTGTATGTCAAGGTATCTACATATTTGGTGTTCCATGAATACACAAGTTTCTCCACTGATTTAATAATATCTTTTTGCATTTTAGAATTTCATCCCTGCTTTTAATCTATACTTAACATTCAGGTCTTCACAATATAGTTCAACATTTAACAAAGCTTATAAAGCCTTAGTGTTGCCACCTGTGATGTACCTATAATTGACACCTGCAAGACATACATAGTTCCATTGTTTCTAAAAATTTTTTTAAATTCTTCAGAAGCCTATCTTTATGACTCTAAGCTTTTAATAAACGCAAAGGAAGGTAATTTCTCAATCGTCCTGAACTAGAATACCTCTTTAGTTAAACGACAGCTAGTACGCGTTTGCATTCTTAAATATACGTGAAACTTGCCGCATTTTCACTGGACACGTGACGATTCCATTATATAACAGCTGTTTCATTTGCTGTGCACCACCTCTGCCAACGTACTCAACGACAACGTGAGCGTAGGTATGGACTTAATGAAACGATTATCATCGCCGGCACTTCCAGTTGCGGTCTGGCCACCAGAAGTGTATTACTGGCCGCCTGATAAGGGTTACGACGCATGGAGAATGCAATGGAAAATGTTAAAAATATTTTTTACCGTAAACGACGACTTCTAAATCCGTACATTAACAATGAACGCTAACCGTAAAAAACAGTACAATAAAATTGTTAAGTGATTGTGTGTAACGAATCTAAAATAGCGAAGTGTCAGTGAACATATTTACACTTGTGACAAGCAACGTGTGGCATTTAAGTTTTCATAAAAATTGTTTTGTGACCGTTCTAGTTGTACATTATAAATATAGTATGTGATATTTCTTAATTCTTCGCAAGGAAGCGCGATACAAGCGACTACAGTATGATGCAATTTCCTTTTTATTACATTTCAATGTGTATCAAATAATTTCTGATTTATTTAGAATTTAATAACACTTTCATTGTTTGTGAAGTAATTTTCAACTATTAACATTTATTTAGTTTCAAACTGCTGATGTTTTGGGACAATTCATAGGCCTCTTCCGGTGTAAAGCAATATTTTAAAATTAATAGAAAGTACAATGATACATTTTTTTATATAATCTTGTGGTGAAAATCACTATTATTATTAACAGTGCGTTAATCTGCGTCGAATCATCGATATTTTCCGTTTAAAACGTATCGATAGGGAAAATAAAGATCTATACTTCCATTTGCCGTTTGACACAGTCGTAATTGCATTACCATCGTATCACTTGCAAGTATTGTCAGCTAATTTACAACGTACGTGCTGCTTGCTTCAATAACCATTTAATTTTTCAAGAACAACAACGACACATGTTCAGACGATACTTCCCAAACCTTGATTTTCGTATTGGTGGTAGTACTATGTGTGTAGCTGTTAAATGTTAGATAATTACAATTGCGAAGAAGGCCGTTCTTTATCTCTATCCGCGTATAAATGTCAGAGAAGTATCGTCCAACAATTTATCTGCCAGACTAACGACGGACAGGGCAAGGAAAATATTGTTTAATTATGGTCATTTTCATTGCCCTCTTTATATCTGTCCTCGCCGACTTCTGAATTTACGGAAACTACTGGGTACTTATCTTTAGTTAAATTTATACCACTTGTGGTATCGCACAAGACTTATCCGCTCTCACTTATTAAGTCATTAGTGCATAAAACAGTAGATAATACTGAGTTTTCTGTACCATTCGTAGAATTAAATCAAAACTTTCCAAGGCTTTTTAAAATGTCACTCACTAACACCACTATGCTGATTTTATGTTTATGCTATTTACCAATTCGACTGGCTTGTTTGAAATAATAAATTCAGTTTGCTAAGAATGCAAAAATAGGATCCGTTAATGAAACTTTGAAAAGCAACGTTAAAATTACTGCGCGTTTAGAACTGTCTCGCATTTTCTGTCTCGAACTTTCTAATTTTTCGCGTTGAAGTTGTTCAATGATGCGAATTTTGCGACTCAAGTGTAATAACCAACAACCGCTAATAGCTATCGCCCTGTCGCATTGACGCGTCAACATAACGTGAAAAGTGTTGCTCGCGAGACAGATAACATTATCGTAAGTGGATAATGTGAAAACGTTCGACGAACGATGAAACCTTTCGCCAAGAAGAATTAAACTATTGCATAGTCGATTTTAGCTTGACTACCTCCTTGTCCTTGTGAACCTCAACATATCGATTACAAATTTCTCCCACTATCGCTTCGAAGGACAAACAAATTTTAACTCGTTCGTAACAACCTTCATATTATTTTCTTATTTGTATAATAGAATCTTCCAATCGACTAATTTCACTCTTCCTCGAAAAAGGAAGGTACTTTCAATTCCAATCACGAATTAAAACTCTTACACATCTGAAGGCGACCAGTAAATCAGTCCCAAGCATCTATGCTTTAATGACAGCTACCAAACATTCACGAATAAATTTCGTTTGCTCGGAAAACCCACTTGTTATCGATTGGTTTCAATCACGAGCAAGCAAGTTTATTCTTAATTGATATAATCTCGGTTACGTGATCAGTATCGAGACGACTGGCCGTGACTTTTCGTCGAATTCAAGAGCCAGTTAACGACACCGATGGAACATGAGTTGCAACGTGACGCCTCTGAAAAAGTACGCGGAAATCAGTTACCGCGTGAAATGCGTGTCAGTGGAGAACGAGAAGGTGTTCGGTGACGTTTACGTCACCCAGCAGACGAGGAATCTCCTCTACTGTGCTGACGGGTATCAGTTTCCCGCCCTATACAGGAGACGAAGATACAATCTGACACTGAAGAACTGGAAGGGCCCCGATTTTATGGAGATAAACAAGAAGAAACCGATCAGGAGGGCCAGCGAGGCGCAGGTCAAAGTAGCGAAGAAATGTTTCAAGAGATCGAAGTCGTTTGGGGATGCGAAGAAGGAAGTCGAGCACGATTGCAACAGCATCAAGAGCATGAAGACCGAGGCCGATATCAGGTTCCCAAAGGTAACTTAAAAATACGCAATTATTCGTGTGAAAATTTTGATTCTTTAATCTCTTCAAGAATGATTTTTCTTCTCGCTTTTCTTGTATCTCTAACTGTACATCGGAAATAATTATCAGTGGAGTGAAATCATAAAATTTTTACTCCTCTTGTTGAGGGGATTCTGTAATAAATAGGTTATTATCAAGTGTTGTTCTTTTTATTATTGATAGTAATTATAAAGATTAAAAATGAAACCATGTGGCCAAGCGCGTAAAGAGGTTAAATACGATTATAGTACTTTGAGAATTTTCTATCTATATTAGGTGGACTGAAAAGTAATGTCGTAATTTTCACATTAGATGGCAAAAGGCTGTTGATAACGAGGGTGATTACATAATTGATTAAAGATAGAAATTTATTAAAAATTTGTTTAAATTTAATGTAAAAAAAAAACAACATTGTTATAATAAGCCAACTGCAGTTTTTAATCGTGAAGACATAATAATTTTCCGTGTGCATTCAATTTTCGATGGAACGCAACACTAGCAATAATTTTATTTTCAGACTTATCCACCGCCTCTACCCGTCTCACTCGAGAGAAAAGAAGGAACAATTTCCTCGTTGGTGGATCAGTTGCTGCAAGATATCTACGGTTTGCCAGACGGCGACAGGGGACGATCGGAAAGCGACTCGACAGCTTCATCCCCGAAGACGCGTCCGCATCATCAGCATCTGCAAAAGGCGCGTCTGTTATGGAAAAGTAAGTGTAATTCAATAAGAGACAGAAACGTCCATAACACGGAAAAGAGGAAGGAACGAATGTGGGCGTCTGATAAATACGTTTAGCTCGAGGACGTTTATTGTGGATGCACGGAGAACGATCGTTTAATAGTTAGAAATTCAGAACAACGAGAGAATGCCGGTACTTGTTTTCTGACAATTGTGCAATTTTCACGCAGAAACAACTGAATGTAACGTTAACAATTGTAACAACAATATGACTTTGCTTTCTATACAAACATTAATGAAAAAACTGACCGTGACAAAAAAATAAATGACGCAAATGGGAAGGTGCAAATGCACGTCGCGTTTTCGAGTAAAATGTTCGCCCCATTGGCACGTGTAACGTCCGCGGGAACAGTGTCGCAACTTTATTCGCGTTATCAGATTTATACTGTCGCGCAGAATTCGAAATCCGGTCGAATTAGGCGAAGACACTTCGGCAGGAGCTGACGAGACAAGAGGTCGTAGTGCCGAGACAGACAAGCGACCTCGTTGACTTCGAGGCAAGAAGGTTCTTTGACTTGGAGTGCTGCTTTTCCTTCCTTTTTTTTCAAGGGGGAACCACTTCTTTTATCTCTATACACGATGCTACTTCGTTTCGCCTCGTTGAACATGCATAGGGAAAAACAGGGGTGAGATCCTCGCGGACTTAAAAAACCCATGAGGAAATGCCGTTTTATTTCGTATAAATCAACCCCGCCAACGGAATTTAAATTTCGTTTTCATTACGGCTACCTCGACGTTGAAGATAACTACAAAAGTAATTATACTGAGTCAAAAATTGAAATTGATTAACCCTTTAAAATTATTTAAAAATATGTGTTTGAAATTATGGGAAGGGGGGTCTTGATTATCCTCCAGGACATACGTAACACATCTTCCACTATTGTTTTGTCCAGAAACCAGTAGGCATTTAAAAAGTTAATTTTAAATTTATGGCTAGCAGTAGTAATCAGTTGCCTTGAAAGAGTGGAAATTACAGAAGGTCATGTTTTATTTAAATATATTGGAATCGATAACAATAAATTCAGTTAATGAGACCAATAGCATTTGAAACATATTTTTGATTTTGATAATGTGACAAACTACTTGATTTTGTTTAAGTTCGATTGTATTCTATCAGATTTTAATAAATGCACCCTCATACTCAAAATTAAATAAAAAATACACAGAGCCTCCCATGTTGGTAGACTGTATTAGAATCTCGATACCCCGAGGGATAAATTCGCAAGACGTTACGCTAACCTCTGACGATCATACGATCAGGATCACGCGATGTTGAGGAGACGTGAGCGAGGTATAAATACGCGTAACGTAATCCCGACCAAGGATAGACTTCTTTCTCAACATTTTACATCCAGGATGGAGAAGCGTTTCAGGAACTTCCCCAATTTAAATTTTAACGCGAAAGTTAACGCGGTTAACTCAGTTAAAGAGGGCTGTACGCGGACTTTCTCAGGACCGCGATTAAGAACATCTGAGCTCGTGATCGGAATGATCAAAGAAGATAGTCCTGGGCGAGATCGTTCCTCTTCTAGCGGGATCGAGGAACTCAGGGGGGCATAAGTAACAGCGGAAAGAGTTGGAAAACTGCAATCTTCGGCGAGTGTGTACCCAGGGAGAGCCCTTTCGGGCCGTTATCAAGATTGCGGCTTCAATTCAAAGCCTCCTCGACGGTGTCTCGTCTTGTCTCGCCCTAACCCAGACTGAAACAAACGCGCCCTCTTCAATTTGAAAATATCTCGTGCAATCTCGACTATCGTGCGTACTCGTTACATTTTAGATCTCGCAGGCTGCATTCGTTGCTTCCTGTTGGATGCAGACGCGTTCGGAGCTTTCATTCTTGAAAGATTGTAGCAACCTTTGGAACGGTTACCTTTTTCAGGTCGATTGTACATTTGAATTTGTATCGTTTTTAAAACTTTTCGATTTGAAAGACAATTTGTAAAGATCAAGGTCTTGAAGAAAATTATGTGTATTCCATTTATATTATTATTCAACCGCAAATAAATGAAGACAATTGAAGATTTCGTTTTACGTTTACTATTTATTGATTTGTTTTGAACTTTTCAGACAAAACCGAGCTTCAAGTTCTGGTAATGAACTTGCAAGATCACATCAATCATACCGGTGCTATACTTATCCGACAGCTGCGTCGAAAGGATTATCTCAGCATCAAACGCGAAAAACAGTGGGATATTATTACAGCCTACCTTCAAGCCCACAGTCAGAAGCGTGGTAAGTATTTTCTTATGGACTACTTCTCCATAATTAAATTATCCCTTTTTGTGCCGAGAATTTTTTCAACATAAGCAACTGGCAACTACAAAACATTTTTACGATTTTATTCCTAAAAATTTGATGTTCCTATGACCAAATTGATCAACGATCGTATTTTAAATTTGAGTTCTACTTAAAAAGAAACGCATGAGGTTTATAATTTATCAGTCTAGACAGAATTCTCGAACAATACATTTTTGTTTTCTGTCTACCTTTCTCACACAATTCTGAGACACCCTCTAATTCGTCACTTCCGTTTAACGAGAAGCTACTAGTGTCATTGCACGATTTGCTCTTGACATTTACACGAGTAGTTTATACTAGCGGCGTAGGGAAAAACGGTTAACAAACAGCGGCGTTCTATCCACGACAATGGCGCCCGCTGAATAAACAATAGGCCGTCGCATAATACGGAAACAGAACTGTTCGTGTGGACTCGCTTGCTGAAACTTCGCGTTCACGTTTTCAACAATAAAACCGTCGTTTCACAAAAGCGATCTTCGTCCCGTCCGACGTTAAAAACAACGACGCGATTTATGCCGACTTCCCCGTTACCGCTGGCAGCTTATTATTTATCTTATCGCTCCTCCGCATTTATAAATATGGAACAGCCGAAGCGGTAATTTACCTGGCTGTAAGTACCGAAACGAACGTACGCCACGCAAGAAAGAAACACAAAAGTGGCCGTAACATTGAGAATGCGTCAGGCTATAAAGCTAAAAATTCCTATGCCTTGTTTTTTAAAAATCTTGTTTAAGGTGGTATTGAGAGTGCGTCAAGCAATAAAGTTTTAAAAATTCCTATGTCTTGATTTTGAAAAATAAACTAAAGTAACTATAATATTGCAAGAAGATCAAAGTATATTATTATAATCTTAAATAAAGTGATGCTTGAATTTTCGAATATTTAAATCACCAAAAAGTTTAGGATATTTAAATGGAGAAAATTTCGATTTTCCGTTTCGAGTTGAAAAGAATAAAAACAACCTGTACATCTCCACCTGCGCATGCTTAAAAATTCAAAGTCGTCTTCCAATTATAACCATCATTCCTACGTCTGGGCGCATTTACATAATTTCTCCAAAATAGCTCCACTTTAAAAACGGCGTACGTGACCAGTTGACGCGAAATTTCACGCTAATACGCGACGGCGCGATCTACAATCCATGGTAATTCAGCCAATGGGGTTGGCGCATCCAGTTGGTGGCACTTGAAAGCGACCACTTCAGGTAACGTGTTATCGATACTTTTAGCGCGGTATCAGCATCGCAAACACACGGGGCGCGTGAGTCGTTCCCAGTACTTCCGGAAAACGGAAAAGAAGGCCCCTCTTTTACGCGTCCATAGCCAGCTGATCAATAATTAGACTTTGCCGCGCCGCGTGCCGCGGGGAACACGCATGCGTGCGGTAAGCGCGGCTAGGACCTCCGACGTGCCGTCATTGATAAAGTTTTAATGATGTCACGCCTGCGAAACGGAAATGCGGAACTTTCCTCGGTCTTCGACCAACTTCGGGGTCTGCACTTAGCGCGATGAACTCGACGCATCAAGGAGAATGACGCGTTCCGACGCTGAGGAAGCCTGGCGGCGACGAGGGAACTTGTATCATGGAATTCTTGTTGTATTTAAATTAATAAAAATGATTGGGTTGCAATCGACACATTCGCGGCCGCTGACGTGACTTTACGTCACTTCAAATTCTATTCCTTATAAATTAAAGAGAGAATTAAAAACGAAGCAAAAGTTATTGGAGAAAAGATGAAAATAGAAAGAGAGACTTGATGGTGAATGTAAATTAATTGCAAATTTCATGTAGGTATACATATCGTACTTCATCTTTTCTAAATCACCACCTAGCCAGAGTCTCTATAAATCGATGGTTGATTTGTGTTCCTTCCGAAGCTCCTCTTTTTCCTCGAGGCAGTCTTTTCGAAGTCTTCCTGCGGTTAAAGCGTCGGGGATATTTTTGAGGTGATTTTTCATTCTTAGCACCCAGAAACTTATTGACCTCGCGCAATTTTTCAAACGCTGCTAAACTCCTCTCTGGCGGAGTGCTTCTATAGTTCACTCGAGCGTTGAAAATATTAAGTAACTGTTTCCGAGCCATTACCCCTGTGTGCTTAGACGGACGATACAAAAACATGGTTTGGCGAAATGAGCGTATCTGCTGAATACATATGCGAGGATTATGCGTTGATGATTACATCGATTTTCCCGAGGACCTCGGCTTACGTACCATCGGCGAATTCATTTTTTAGTAGACAGTGGATATGAATACAATGGTTACTCACGTCCAACGTTCTCGCTCGCGTCGTTCTTTATTTATGATCAATTTTTAAGGAAAGCAATTTTTTAGTAAAATGGTTCCAATACCAGCGAATCCCGAAGTTAAACTTTTATCGCAGCAAACGAGAAAATAAAAGGCTGATGAAGAAGAATTGGGATTACGAGAATCCCATACTCGGTGTATCGGTCCAATGGGAAATACCCATGTTGATCATTGTGTATTGAAACACGAGCGCACTGACCGCCAGCTGTGCGCGGAATCTGAAAATAATCGATCGCGTGAATTTCCTCCTAGATCAAATTGAACCGAATTGGATCGGATCTCGCAAAGAGGGTAGGCGTCCCTCTGCTCGGGCGCAGATATGCAATTTAGCTCTGTTGACAGCGAAAAAGGTAATTCTATCCGCAAACGAATAGCCTTTCCTCGTCGTTAATCAATATTCAACTAGATTTCCTTACTTTGAGATTGAACCTGGCAAGATGGAAAACGTCGATAACGCGGGATTTTTATTTTCGTCGTTCCACGAATCGCCTTCAAGAGCGAGAGACGTATCGTCGATCTCTTGGCAGAACTCCTAATTATTTCCGCCACCTAACCACGCGAACGATAACGTCCCGGTGCTTGGGTTATCGTGGCTCCTAATCGGTGGAAAATGTAACGATATCGTTCGACTGCGTTCTCCTGTGTTTATTTTAAGAGAACGTTCGTTTGATCCGGTGTCTCCGAGCATTTAACCCTTCAACGACTTCTGACAATTTTGGAGGAGATCTTCTGGGGACACTTCAAACGCCCACGATCTTGGATTCTGTCCAGCTTCGACGGAATAGACTCATGCATATTATAGTATTCACTGGCAGCTGGAAAGGTACACTTTTTGTTCGATTTGAGAGGCTGTTTTTGGTGATTGTAAATAGGGTAGTATCACATGTCCTCCTTGAGCTTGATCAATTGTACTACTACAAGCTCTATTCTCACATTTCTGCTTACATATGAAATTTTGGAAAGCTGAAATATAAAAAAAAAAATTCCAAGGAAGGATTTGCATGCTGCTGGTGAGCTAAGTTCATGATCTTGAGTGAAGTGAACTTTCTCTTCAGGGTTAACTATTTACGTACCGAGTGGCCTTCGTATACTCGTGGCATAATAATTGCCAAGCAGGCAGGGTGGTTAATAACAGCAGAACACAGAATGTATTACAAGTAATCTAGGACCAACCGAGAGCCCTGGATGCCTTGCAGAGTTTAATATTTATATAGATCGTTGATAGCTCGTTATTTAAATCGATAATGGGCTATCTGGGGCCATTATCGCTTTTTAGCGATAAATCAATTTTAAGAGATTAATGGCCGAAGGATGATTTTACATTGGGTACACGATTGCCCTGGGAAAAATTCTGGAAGCTCAATTATTCTCAATTATAGTTCGAACATCCGCTTAAAAGTTCATATTGGATCTTTTTCTACAACGTGGGACATCTGAAAGATAGATAGATTCTAACAGATAGAAATTTTTGAATAAACAATCATGAGACCATATTGAACGAAATAGAGTACATTTATTATTTCTGTTCAGAGAATTTTCCTCTGCACTCGACGGGAAGGGTGCGCGGATACACGCTATATCCACGAATGTATCTGATGGCCTTAGTCTCTGCCGTGTTGCTACTGACTCTGACGACATTTCCGACTGACCCATAAAGGGACCGAGTCGATAAGTTCATCGATCCATAGTACGTGGCTTTATTATGAACGCGGATTAAAATCGACTGCTGCACCACGATGGCGGCACGATACAATCTTCTGCGTATGCGATACTGGCGTACATACTCGCTGCATAAATAAAAGCAACCATGGTTAAAAAAAAAAAAACAGCAACCATGGTTACATCTTTATCCAAGCAAAATAAAAATTCTTAAAATCAAAAGTTGGCCTTAAAATATTCGTGCCAATATATCTGTGAAAGAATCCATGCATCGTCTAATGGCAAAGCACTCACCCTGTACATGATACGGTACCTACGTGGATCAAAAGATTGTTCACCCCAAGAAGACCGAGGAAAGGGAAGGGAAGATCATAGCAAACCGTGGGTATCACTCAGACACCCACCAACAAAAGGAATGCTCCTGTTTGCGATGTGATGGAAATTGCACTTGAAGGAACTATTATGTTTTTTATTAGTTGAACAATCTAAACGTATTCTTCTTTGTTTTCGAACCATGTCGTCAATGATACAACTTTTGATCGATCCAATAACAAAAATAATTGAGGTGGACAGGTCATCTTCAACCTGTGTACGTCGTGGCAACTGGAGCGTAAAACACTTCTTTACATGACCTTGATGATAATACTTGGTAAGACGTAACAGTGATGTTCATTTTTTATTAACCAATTGAATCAATATTTGAATTGCTGCTTCTTTATATATTAAAAAATAGACTTCACTATTCCTACGATTGCATGGACTAAAAGATAGTTACCTTCGATAAAAGAAGCGAATAAAAACAATTATAAATAAAACGTTTCGAAAGCCATCCTTAATTTAATTGTTTTCAGTAATCAACTCTTAAAAATTGCAACTTAAATTTGACTTCTAAAATACTATTTCCACAACGATTACCTGGACCGAAAGTTCGTTCACCCTAACGACCAGAAAAGAGGGTTAAAAAGAGTCCG